ATCAATAGTAAGATCATCATCATTACCGGACTCGCATACCTCACTAGGGCTGTCGTCTAGTGGCCGTGTACATGATGCTCCAATTAAACTTGAAGAGGAAGCCGCCAAAGCTCGTCGGATCGCCTCCAAGTTTCCTTGATGTGCTTCTATGAATTTTCACAATGTGTAAGCATTATCAAATAAATCAAGCTTGTTAGAAAATGATGAGTCAAAAGCATTAAGTAAAAATTCTAACAAAAGCTTATTCATTGTAAACATTTTATTATCATGTTTGCTCCACTTAGATTTCTCCAACGTAGGCACAATATAAGCACAATCAATAATTTCTCATAAATTGAAGTATCTAGATCTAACAAAGAGTTTAAATCTAACACACCATTGAGCATAGAAAAAATTATCTATTCTAGGAGCAATATTAATGGCATAACCTAAGCTAGGTGCACCATGCATATCCATGATATATTTATGCAAGCAAGATACAATCAAAACAAGATTAGCAATATAGGAAAACTTGGATCTTTGACTCAAGGCTAAGCAATTAATCAAGAGCATCAATCTCTGATACCAAATGAAATTACCCTAGAAGGAGTAAATAGGGTAATGTGCTAATCTAATCTAATTTAATGATAATTAAAAAACTTATTAACAAATATCCTAGCAAGTTTGATATTCAACAACTTATATGTGCAAGGATATATAATTAACACAAGGGTGAAATAGACATGAAACAATATAAACAAGATAGTGGGCAAATAACCAATGCAAAAAGGGTGAAATAGACATGAAACAATATAAACAAGATAGTGGGCAAATAACCAATGCAAACACAAGAAAATAATCACGGAGTTCGGTCGAAACAATATAAACAAGATAGTGGGCAAATAACCAATGCAAACACAAGAAAATAATCACGGAGTTCGGTCCTTCCAACCTACATCTCCCCTCCCCACTCTTGAGGAGAACTTCACTATCTCAACCGGTTTTCAACGCTAACCGAAAATGTTTACACCTCACAATCTCGATTTTCTAGCTCACCGAAAACTTTCACAGTCTCTCAGAATGCAACCACCCTCTACACTCTCTAAGTGTTGGCCTAGCCTATGTCGCCTTCCTCAAGTGCTCAGATTTACAACCTCTCCCTAGGCTTTACTACCGATGCTACTCCTCTTGGAATCGACCCCGTCTCTCACCACACACTCCTCTCGGTGTACAAGTGTATTATAAAGTGTAACTCGCAATAAGCACAATAACAAATGGTTTGTTCTCTAATACAATATAAGAACTAAGTGTAAGCTCACTCAATCACACCCACAACCCAAATTACACAATGTGTGATAACACTATAAGCTCAATGGTTGTGTATGAAACAATAAACAATAACAAAACTAAACTCAATTGTAAATCTAGCTTAGTGAAAAGATAAATAATAAATATAAATATGTAAAACTAGAATTAAGTTTAGTAAAACTACTCTAAGATGACAAGAGTAAGAGAGATGAGAGATTGAAGCTCAAACCCCAAAGATGATCTCTTCTTCATCTTGTGAAAATCTCTTCATAAACAAAACTTGTAAACACACTAAACAAACTTTAAAAGCCCTTGTAAACTTGTTCAAAACTTTTCTTAGTAGTTAGAAATAGTTATAGCAAAGGGGGTATATATAAGGTCACAAGACAAACCCCAAAACCAAGCAAAAAGATAAAAAAACCAAAAATTCAGCATTCTGGAAAACCAACCATTACAGTGTTATGAGTCGACTCGTACTATTCATGAGTCGGCTCATAAACTAGCTGTTACAGGCTGCACAACAGTTATGGGTTGACTCATAAATTCATGAGCCAACTCATGCTCATGGGTCAACTAGCTACAATTACGAGTCGACTCATCAGACTAAAAATGCTAACCGCATAACACTTCTTGAGTCGACTCACTACAGTTATGAGTCGACTCATCAGACTAAAAATGCTAACTACACAACACTTTTATGAGTCGACTTGCTACAGTTATGAGTCGACTCATAACATGCACACAGCCTGATATGAACAGTAAAAATTAACTTTAAACTTTATTTAAAAATATCAAATAAATTCCAAAAAATATAAACCTTTGAGAAATATTTATAAATGTGATAATGAACATGTTACAAAAAAAATTCAATTTTTACTTCCTAATTATGAAAAAACTCATCATTTTGCAAAATAGTCCAAAAACATGAAAACTTAACAACACATGTTTTTGACAAACAAACTTGCATATTCATTTTGAATGGACTAATGGATTTAGGAAAAGATATAAAATGGTGTAAGTAAGTCTTTAATCCATGAACACATACTTTTGCAAATAAACATGATTTCATAAATTTGTTAAAGTTTGATTTTAATGAAATCATTGTAAGCATGTATAAACATGAAACAATTTGTGTAAATATAACTATATCTATTTGTTTCATATTTATATGGATGAACACATTATTTTATAATAAAATCAATAAATAGGAAACTAGTAAATATGTATATGTATATAACTATTAGTTTCATATTTTTACGATTTAAACTTGAAAACGAAAACAATGAAAACGAAAGTAATGTGTGTGTATAGTTTGAGCTCTAAGTATTAACACACAAAGTATAAACACCTACACTAATATAGCAAGCTATAGGTCTTTAATAAGCTTGTTATGGTTTGCAGATAAAGCTTGAACTTAAATCTTTGACTTGAATTGTATTGGCTTCATTCCGATTTCGCCAATCTCCTTTAGATATGATCGTTAAGCTCGATTCCATCCAACCTCCAACATCGATGTTTGTTTATAATACCTAATAACCAAATACAAACACTTGACAAACAAAGTTGTAATTGTTTATGATCGTTAAGCTCGATTCCATCCTACCTCCAACATCGATGTTTGTCTAGAATACATAATAAACAAATACAAACACTAGACAAACAAAGTTAGGGATTGTTTGTAAATCATCATCAAAACAAATGTACTAACATCAACTAGGTATATATATGGTCTCAGTGAAACTTGAGAGAGGGACGGGAGGAAGCCCCCACGGGGGCCACGGGTATGCAACTTCTACATGCTTAAAATTGTTTTCAGTTCATTTATATCTTTTCCACTCAAGCTCAAATACTGACTCCATCAACGAAGGAATCACAAAAGAACCCAACTTTGGTCCTCTAACTAGTGTTATTGTGCAACTCTCTTATACAAACAGGGGGTCGTTCTTCAAGAGAGATGAGGGAACCCACATCACCATCCCCTTACTAAACTCAGGATTACCAGCTAATCTCATCCATGTTTGATAGCTGACATCAACAAGAACATATTCTATAGACTCAAGTCTCATCTCCTCCTCTTTTTCCTTAAATTTTATAATATTCTAGAAAGATAATGAAATCAATATTTTTCTATATATTACTTTTAATGTTCATTTAATTTTTTTTTTCTACTGATCCGGGGTTTCTTTTAATAAGAGTAATTAACCAGAAGAAATAAATTTCTAGAAACATACAACCCACCCTTTACCAATCAAAGTGATATTAATAAACATACACAAACACCCCACACACACACACACATAAAGAGTAAATATTTAAAGATTACTCTATTTTCCTTGAGATTGGTCAATAAGAGATTAATCCATCTAAATATAATTTTTTCTCTGATGAATACTAGAACTACTTTAAATTTTTGGGTTAATTACCTATTAGTTCCTTAAATCATTTCTAATTGCCAAATAGTCCCTCAAATCTCATTAGTTGCTTGTTAGTCCCTTAATTCTTTGGTTTTCTTGCAATATGGTACTTCTGTTAGAAAAAAATCCTCTAACTCTAGTTGAGTTAATGTTTAACCTGACAACTCAAGTTACCTTATTGCCCCTCGGGTATACATTTCTCTTGCAAGTTTTGGGTTTAGACTGAAGCTAGCCATGAGAATGACCTGGATTTTGGGTTTGGGGGAAGCATGAGACCATTGGTGAAGAAAGAATGTGTATTTGAGTTAGTATAGGCGGGGTATAATGAGTATTTTATCTAATTCCATCACATTTAACAGTCATTAGTAACACCACCTAAGGACGGATTAGCATGAACGCTGAAGATTTAATGGACTAATAAGCAAATAATAAGATTTGAGGGACTACGTGGCAATTAAAGACGATATAAGGGACCAATATGCAATTAACCCTAAATTTTTTTTAAAAGTATTCATCAGACATTCTGATGCTTACAGCAAATATGCTTCGGCCTAAACCGTCCAATCTCGTCTCCAGTGCAAGCTAGTAGCCGTCTCCGACCGCTTTCCCATTTTAAAATTATATTTGATCTCTGATCCTCATGCACCCGACAATCACCAGAGAATATTGCAATAAGCAAATACTGAAATTGCTAAAAAGCACCTCTTCCCAAAACCGGATGCAAGATCATTAATCACTCCCTCCAACGATTATATACCCTCGCCGACACATTTACATGAAGGTCCTCCTACAGTATCATAATTAACTAGCTAAACTGTGTTGGCAAGCTCAAGCACGAGCTCATGCAGCAGCGATCCGAACACTATTGACTCCACGTCAGCAGCCACGTCGTCCTTCCCGTCCTCGCATCGCCTCCACCTTGCGTTCCTCTCCATCTCGCTCAGGTGTACCTTACCGTGTTCCTCCGCCTTCAAGCATCCTACGTCGTTGATCCAATTGCCAGCTGCTGATAAGAGCCGTTCAGTGTCCGTGCTTGCTGAGCCTGCGGACGATGATGGGGCTTCCGAGAAAAAGTCGACCAGTAACTTCTCGGCTTGTCGGTCCACCTCGAAATTAGATCTTAGCCGTTGGATTAGGTGCTTGGCGGTGATGTCCTTCGATGAGGCCACGTGGAGATCGTATTCATCATCGGATGATGAGAACCTGAGATCGAGGTCTAGTGGGTCCACTAGCTCAGCGAGGGTCTCGAACCGCCTGATTTTCTGTAGCAGCTCGTGCGTTGTTTCTGTATCCAGAAAATCAAATTTACTTAAAACCACATCATATATGGGAATTTTTATTATTATTTTATTTTATTTTATTTTTTGCGTCTACTCCCTACTATATTCCCTATCCTATTCTTAAAAGTTGTCATTATTTTGATAATTAGTTTGAGAGATGTAGAAACCTATGTCGCATGCACACGAGTAGCAAATTTTATTTTGGAACCTTTTAATTACCTTTACACGTTATAGTAAGAGTTGTTGGGACAAACTCAGGGCCCAATAGAACAGGGTCGCAGCAAATAGTAGAGCAAAAGTAGAGATAAAATGGTAAAGACACATATTTACGTAGTTCGGTACTTAATTGTCTACGTCCACACGCAAGGATAAAAGAATTTACTATGAGGAGAAAACTCTAGAGTTACAATCTCTTAACAAGGAGATACTCTCTCTATTTTTTTTTTCTCTCTCACTCTTCTACAAGAGAAGTTGTTTCTGGGATGAGTTTTTTCTTATGGATTTGGAGCTTATTTATAGTGTTTGGAAAAATACTATATATGCATAATAAAATATTAATATTTAACTATGTTGTGGGACCCCTTATTTTTGTTTTCTTTTCCTTTGTCAACAATTGTAGGCTCTTTCGGTGCTCTTTTGTTTTTGTCAAAAGAGTTGGCTGATTGACAATCAACATCCTAAACACACTGTTCTCCCAACTCACAACATTGGGGCATGCAATCGGTGCGAATGAACTTGCAGAACTTCTACTTCAGAGTCTACCTGACTCATATGATCAACTCATCATCAACCTGACAAACAACGTCCTCACGGACAATCTAGTCTTCGACGATGTTACAGCCGCTGTTCTGGAGGAAGAAAATCGACGCAAGAACAAGGAAGACGGGTATGCAAGTTTGCAACAAGCGGAGGCTTTAACGGTGACGAGAGGAAGATCAATGGAACATGGCTCTAGTGGGAGTCATACCCATGGTAGATCAAAATCACGAAGTAAGAAGAATATCAAATGCTACAACTGTGGCAAAAGAGGGCACGTCAAATTGGAGTGTTGACACAATAAGAAGAGTAGAGATAAAAAATCTTCAGAGTCATCAACATCTCAAGGATGTGTTGTCAGCATATCAAACGATGGTGAATTCTATTCAGTGGAACAACCACTGTTGATGAAGGCAGAAAGATGTTTGCTGATGTCTGGCTTTTGGATTCAGCAGCCTCCTGGCACATGACCTTCCGGAGAGAATGGTTTCACAAATATGAACCTATCTCAGGAAGATCTGTATTCATAGGGAATGATCATGCCTTGGAGATTTCTGGTATTGGCACTATCAAAATCAAAATATTTGTACAATAGCACCATTCAAGATGTGTGACATGTGAAAGGCTTGAAGAAGAATTTATTGTCTTTGGGACAATTAGATGAGCTCGGGTGCAAGACTCATATAGAAAATGAGATCATAAAGATTGTTAGAGGGACGCTTGTGGTAATAAAAGGAGAAAAGATAGCTGTAAATCTATATATGCTCAAGGGAGAAACCATGTAGGAAGCTGATTCATGTGGCATCTCAAACTAGGCCACATGTCAGAACGAGGCTTGAAGATTCTCTCCGACCAGAAGCTGCTTCTTGGACTTAATTCGATAGCTCTTTCATTCTGCAAGCATTGTGTTATAAGTAAGCAGCATCGGCTGAAGTTCAACACATCAAGTTCTAGAAGCCAGGCTATTATGGAACTGGTTCATTCTGATGTATGGTAAGCACCAGTTACATCCTTGGGAGGAGCAAAGTATTTTGTGTCCTTTATTGATGACTACTCCAGAAGATGTTGGATGTATCCTATCAAGAAGAAGGCGGATGTGTTCTTAGTCTTTAAAACCTACAAAGCACGGGTCGAGCTTGAATCTGAGAAGAGGATCAAGTGCTTGAGGTCAGATAATAGAGGAGAATACACAGACGGTTAATTTCTAGCGTTCTGCAAGTATGAAGGTATCAAAAGACAATTCAGTATGGCTTATACTCCTTAACAAAATGGAGTGGTGGAGTGGATGAACAGAACTCTGTTAGAAAGAACAAGAGCTATGTTGACAACTGCAAATCTAGATGAAGTCTTTTGGGCGGAAGTAGTAAAAACCGCCTGTTATGTGATGAATCGATCTCCATCAACCGTAATACAGTTGAAGACGCCGATGGAGATGTGGATTGGCAAGCCAGCTGATTATTCTAACCTCCATATATTTGAAAGTCTAGTGTACGTAATGTACAATGTCCAACAAATTACAAAGCTGGATTCAAAATCCAGAAAATGCTTATTCTTAGGGTATGCTGATGGAGTAAAGGGATATCACCTGTGGGATCCCACTGCTGGCAAGGTTATCATCAGCATAGATGTTATCTTTATAGAGAACCAACTACAAAGTGAAGAGAAATAAAGCAGTTCGAGGAAGGACTCAGAGATTATAGCTGTTCAGGTAGAAGATAATCTGAATTCTTCTAAAGCAACACCGGAGCATGATGTACAAGAACTGGTCGAGTCCGATGCTCTAGAAATTCGAAGGTCAACTCGTGAGAGAAGACCACCGACTTGGCACTCAGAGTATATTACGGAGAGTAATGTTGCATACTATCTTCTAACGGAGGATGGAGAGTCATCAACTTTTCATGAAGCTATAAATGACATAGATGCATCTTTGTGGATGACAGTAATGTAGAAAAAAATTGAATCTCTCCATAAGAACAAGACTTGGGTACTTGTGTCACTACCACAAGGAAGAAAGGCCATTGAAAATAAATGAGTGTACAAGATCAAGTGAAATGGCGATGATCAAGTAGAGCGATATCGTGCTAGATTGGTGGTAAAAGGATATGCTCAAAAAGAATGTACCGAATTTAATGAAATATTTTTTCCTGTAGTTTGACTTATAGCAGTCCGAATAGTTCTTGCTATGAGCGCTATATTTGACTTACATCTAGAATGGCTAGATGTAAAAATAACAATTCTTCATAGAGATCTTGAAGAAAAAATTTACATGCTCCAACCAGGAGGTTTTGAAGAAAAAAGGAAAAGAGAACTTGGTTTGCAGATTGAATAAATCTATGTACGGTCTAAAGCAGACGCCGAGGTGTTGGTATAAGAGATTTGATTCATTCATCATGAGTTTTGGATACAACAGACTTAATTCAGACCCTTGTACATATTTTAAAAGGTTTGGTGAAAATAACTTTGTTATCTTATTGTTGCATGTTGACGACATGTTGGTTGCAAGTCCCAACAAAGATCGTATCAAAGAATTAAATGCTCATTTGGCTAGGGACTTTGAAATGAATGATTTAGGATCTGCAAACAAGATTCTAGGGATGTAAATTTACCAAGACAGAATTAATAGGAAGATTTGACTTTCTCAGAAGAATTACTTGAACAAAATCTTGCGACGCTTTAACATGTAAGATTGTAAGTCAATTTCTACCATATTTCCTATTAATTTTAAGTTATCCTCCAGTATGAGTCCTAGTAGTGAGGAAGAGAGGATGAAGATGTCTCGAGTACTGTATGCATCAGCAGTAATAAGCTTAATGTTCGTTATGATTTGTACAAGACCAGACATTACACAAACAGTGGGAGTAATTAGTCGATACATGACAAATTCTGATAAAGACTATTGAAATGTTGTAAAGAGGATCCTAAGATACATTAAGGGAACCTCAATCGTTGTATTATGTTATGAGGGATCTGATTTTATTGTCAGTGGATATGTTGATTCTGATTATACAGGTGATCGTGATAATAGCAAATTAACCACAGGCTATGTGTTTGCACTTGCTGGCGGAGCTGTAAGTTGGGTTTTAAAACTACAGTCAGTTGTGGCTACTTCAACAACAGAAGCAGGATAGGTAGCAGCTATACAAGCTAGTAAAGAAGCGATGTGGTTGAAGATGGTGCTGGAGGAACTAGGCCATAAACAAAAGAAAATATCTCTATTTTGTGACAGTCAGAGTACTTTATATTTGGTAAGAAATCCAGCCTTTCATTCAAAGACCAAACACATTCGAGTTCAGTACCATTTCGTTCATGAGAAAGTGGAAGAAGGAACAGTGGATATGTAGAAAATTCACACCAAAGATAACCTAGCAGATTTTTTGAAAGCAGTCAATACAGACAAATTCATTTAGTGTAGATCCTCCTATAGTCTGTCGGAGACGTAAGAAACATAAAGATGACAAGATAGAAAGAATGGTGTGAGTATATGATTGATTCTTAATCAAATCTTTAAGTTGGAGATTGCCAATCAGCCGACCCTTTAGACAAAAACAAAAGAACACCGAAAGAGCCTACAATTGTTGACAAAGGAAAAAAACAATAATGACGGGCCCCACAACATAGTAAAATATTAATATTTTATTATGCATAGTATTTTTCCAAATACTATAAATAGACTCCAAATCCTTAAGAAAAAAACTCATCTCAGAAACAACTTCTCTTGTAGAAGAGTGAGAGAGAAAAAAAAATAGAGAGAATCTCCTTGTTAAGAGAGATTGTAACTCCAGAGTTTTCTCATCATAGTAAATTCTTCTATCCTTGCCCGTGGACGTAGGCAATCAAGTGCCGAACCACGTAAATCTATGTGTCTATTATTTTATCTCTACTTTTACTCTACTATTGCTACGACCTTGCTCTATTGAGCCTCGGGTTTTTCCCAACATTGATATGGAAGGTCATCGATGTAGATTCCGCCATCCTCAGAGTGTAAAGTCTCCTTTTTAAGAAAATTTTGTTGTGCATGGATTTTGCCTCATATAGCTTTGTTAGAGTATCTCAGGTCTCATTTGCTGTCTTCTTCTCCTCCATGCTTGACAACACCATGTCTGCAAATGCCAGATGGAGATTTGCAATAGCATTTTCGTCCATCTCGTTCCACTTCTTATCATCTGTGATGTTGTCCGGCCTTGCACCGATGACCGCCAGACAATTATCTTTTCTCAAGATAGCCTTTATCTTTAACTTCCACAGTGAGAAATTACTCCCGTCGAATTTCTCGATCTTGAACTTTGCCGCCATTACTTCTACCACGAAGAGTAACTTCTTACTATCTCACGTAAACAGTAACTGTATTTATAAACATTAATCGTATCTATAAATAGTACCGTACTTGTGAATAGTACCATATTTTATGAACAGTCACGTGAATAGTACCCGTCACCTTCAAAGGGTAAATGATAGCATGTATTTTTTTCTCTTTCACTCTTTTATAAGAGAAGTTGTTTCTGGGATGGGTTTTTTCTTAAGAATTTAAAGCCTATTTATAGTGTTTGAAAAAAATACTATGTACAATAAAATATTAATATTTTATTATGTTGTGAGGCCCATAATTTTTGTTTTCTTTTCCTTTGTCAACAATTGTAGGCTATTTCGGTGCTTTTTTGTTTTTGTCAAAAGGGTCAGCTGATTGACAAAGAGTTATAGTAAACTTAAGCTGCAACAGACTACACTGACGTATTTAAACAGTGTGTAATGGTGTTACCTGTAAACTCCACGATTAGATTAAAATCCTACGGAATTTGTCCTGTGCTACCAATTATCCAATGATGTTCATAAACACCAATGAAACAAAATCTTAGATCAAACATTGATAGATTGTTTAACGAGAAACTACGGTTGCAGTTGAATTGAATTTGAAAAAAAAAAACATCTTCTCGTAACAAGTTCTCCATTGGGTGAAAGCAAAAGTTTAAAATAATTTAAACCCCTATTCTTGAAAAATCATAAAGTGAAGAACCTAGACCGTATATTTTTCAATAATTTTAATCAGAGGGCTATACGTTATTGTTTTTAACTTAAAAGCATAACCTTAAAAATCATTTTTCGTGCTATAGTAAAATGATATCCAAGCTATAGTAAAATTCTGAACTAGCACTACATAGTTTAAGAAACAGTAAAAATTTTACCATGAACACTGTTCATGCTAAACAAAATTTTGAAGATCAATAGCAACGTTCATTCTGCGGCAGTTTTCGGTTTAGGCTGCATATTATTATTTGATTGTTTCAAACTTGATAGTATAAAATTTTATCAATTTTCAAGTATGGTTATATTAGTATTTATTTATATCTTATTATTTAGTTTGTTTTAAACTTGGTAGAGTAATAAATACAATAAAATTAATGACGCGAAAGCAATCTTGATTGGATGCACAAAACAAACTCAGACTAGTCCTTACATATACAAGTGAAAGAGACTTCAATTGAAGTGGGTCCCTACCGAATAAAAACCCAATATCATGACAAAGGTGATCAGCTTGGTCTTATCTCCCATAAATTTGTAGTTATATTCCTACTTACAAACAACGCCAAAGAATAAGACCCGAGAGTAGATTCTGGCAGGGGGGTACCGGAACCGAAGTAAATTCGGATGTGTAAATAGTGGGCCCCAGTTCCAACTGTTGTACTGGGTTCGAGTTGCACGCATGATAATTGAGAAGAAAGATGACAGCTTAATTTGTTCTAGCTTCTTGGGACTTGTTAGGGGCCCCCACAAATGCCAGCTAGTATTTTTTTGTGGTGCGTGTCCAATCAAAAGAGGATTAATCCTAAATAAATGACGTAAGCTTGGAAAAAAGAATATTTCAAGTACTTTTGGGAACTCATGTGTCTACATATTTCAAGCTAAATTTTGAAAATATATTAATTTTTTACGAATTTATTGTATTTCTTATTTACTGCTGCAACTTAATGATATTTTGAGGAAAAACAGATTTATCACATCATCATGTTTTAGATTCAACTGTTAGGAGATGTCATTGGTGCATTCTATTTTCTATGTTGTATTTGATCTTTATTGCTTAATATATTTGTTAACACCCTTGTGTGATAAATCAATATGTTATATCATACTTATTTTACAATGTCAAAATTGCATCGGTAGTTATATCTCTTATGCGATGTGTAATTAACAATAATAAAAAAAAAATCGTTCAAAGGAACATACTTTCAATGTTTGCGAGATTTCGTTCAAATCCAAAAGTTCTAGCCTCCTCATCCTCACCCTCGTCATCTTCATATTGACAGGGGAAATCCATAATAGATACTGGACTTAGCTGCTCTTTCTCCTCCTCGGATACACATCCTTTGTATTCTACTCCTTGGTGCTCGCCTTCCTGCTTATTTGCAACAACAATAAGTTTCGTAAATTCAATTTACATATTATTACTATTTATTTACAACATAAATCATTTTGAAAAATTGTAAATTCACTTTTTCCCCCCTCTGAGCAAGCTCACAAGATTCACTAGTTTCACCTTTTCTAGAAAGGGAAAGTAAGCACGCGTGTTTAGCTTTTAGCTTTTCAGGCTTCGGAATAGGTTATACCAAATATTCTTAAAGGACTATAATTGTGTGATTGAGACTAAAATTATCAACACTTTAATATATTGGTAGGGGCCGCGCATATAATAATAAGGAAGCGTGGACGGTGATTAGTGGACCAAGTGGAAGCTATAGTAACTTATTTAAACTCTACGTAAAGTGTTTTCACTCCCTAAATCACCGACAACAGCTCGGCGGAATCCAAACAATAAAGCCACCTTTACGCTGGCCGACAAAAACAATAACAACAAAAGCCTTCAAAAAAATTCATATTTCGAGGTCCCTTCCCTACGGGCCGGGCGGGGGCACCCAGCCCTCTATCCCTAACTAATAGCCTTGTATTAAATAATCATGTTTAATGATTATTTAGTTATAGTTCATAATTATACTATGATAAATTTTGAGCAATACTACTGTTCCTAATTTTAATTCGGTTTTTCTATAGAGTGCCCATGGGCACTATAAGAGAAGAGAATGAAATAGAGAGAAATGAATAGCTCATGGGCCCTCCTGATTTGCATTAACTTCTGTACATAATTCATTTCTCTCTATCTCTCTCCTCTCTTATAGAGTGCTCATGAGCACTCTATAGAAAAACCGATTTTAATTTAATTAAAAAAAATATTTTATTTATCTTACGAGTCATATCAATTATAGTACAATGCAAATAGCAAAGATAAGCGTGACCCATGCATCGCCTATACTGGGGATAAGGACGCACCAACAACACCTAATTGACCATCCAAATTAAGGGACCACTTGAGCTTCCATTTAACAATTATTGACATCTCACCTAAATACGGAAACAACGAACAATAATTGGATGAATAAAGTGACCAATTTAAAAAGTTTATGATTTGCATAATCTTAAATATTAATTATTAAATAGATAATTATAATTAATTTCAATTAAAAAGAACAAAAAGAAGATCAAAAGAAAAATATATGATTGTAAGTTGAAAATTTGTATTCAAATATTTAAAAAGGGTAACCTGGGGAACGATGTGATTAGAAGAATGACCTTAGAATCTTCGTATGTATATGATTTTGTTTACGATGATTGAAGATATACGAGTTAACCTAACTGTTCAACTTTCGCTCATTGGATTTCTTTGTTGGATGTTAGTCAGACCTCAAGATATATCATCCGCATAATCAATAAGTAATCATGACATACGTCGGTCTCCAAAATCATCTATTAATTCATACATTATATATGCAACTAATCCTTAGTTAAAGGTAATATAAAGCTTACCATTGACGACGACAAAAGTGGGCTCTGGTTCTGACTCGGGCTTTTGTGTGATTTTTCACAGGGAAAACAATCTAACTCCCCACTCGACGATGACGACACAAAAGACTCCGACCCCTCCTCACCGTCATCGGAGCCTACTGCAGCTACTGACAACTGGCGACGGAAAACACAACGATCTCCGTTCACCATACAATTCAAAAGAATCCAACCTCACAATATCCTTAACCGTCGTCACCCTTCTCCCTTCCTTGTCTTTCCTCTTCCAAAACCTCTTGTTCAGTTTCCTCGAAATGCTCCTCATAAGTAAACCCTCTTCACTGGGCCTTGGGGATGATGAGAGAGGGAATTTTTTGACGGCGTTGATCAGTTTGCTGAAGGCGCCGCCGCCGGAGATGGAGGCGGAGCGGGGGAAGGAGGCG